GAAATATTCCTAAACAAAATTAAAAGAAAACAAAATACATGCTATGGCAATCTTGAAAAGTCAGGGAGCTCAATAAACATTCAGAGTATGTTCTCACAATAAGAGCATTAAACACTTGGTAATTAACATAATATGCAAAAAATGAGAAAATACACAGGATGAAAGATGAGGAGTACACATAGGAAATTTTTGTGATTTTCTTCATTTTGGTTCTATCGCTTTCTTGTCTTCAGGAGAGAAGACTTTGACTTCAAAAGTAAACAAAATATTTAAGAAGGGAATTCACATCTTTCTGTTCTATAAGGTACTCTTGTGCTATTTTCTCAGCAGTCCATGTTTCTGGATAAAGTTTATGATTATTGAGAAGTGTCAATGCTTCCACAATAGAAATTTTGCCTTTGGGGACACTCTTGATATTTATCATATCAAAGTCTTGGCCTTTTGGCAATCTGAATTCCTCTGGCTCTTGTGTTTCAGCAGCTTTTACCTGCACGGAAGACACAGGATCTTTGGAATCAACATACACATCTTTTAGAAACGACAGTAGTTTGTCATCTTTACGAGCAATCTCTCCCTTAATTTCTGGATTGACACCCATCTGCTTTTCCAGGAGGCTATTGGTAGAGGGGTGCCTGGGAGCGGGAGAGGGCTTCATCTTGCTGATATCCCGCTCCGCTCTGTTTTCTACGTTGAAATTTCTGATCCCGCAAATCACCAAACCCCCCATTTCTTCATAACATGATGCCCTCAGGTTCACGCCGCACAAGCTGCTATGTGACTTTGAGCTAAAGGCTCAATCTCTCTTACTGTTAATTTACTAGACTGTAAAATGGGGATTATTGAAAGGATTAAAGGAGATCACATGCTTTGAGTTTGTCAACTGCTTCAAGAATTAAAAGAATGAAGGAGACACATTTGAATTTTTTAAGACCAGGCCCGTTAGCAAAAAAGGATGTTTTTGGATCATGTGAATATTTTCACTGAAACAAACAATGGTGAAATAAATGTAGCCTGTTATTCAAAAATGTGTGTGTTATCATCTGGGAAGCAGGTGGAGAAATGTCAGATACACCTTAGCAATAGATATGAAAACAACTATTAGCACATCAGTATGTTGAGTCATGTTCTCCTAAGGTCAAAGTCACTATAATGGTTGTGTCCTTCAACCTCCTTAAATAATAGTAGTGAACAGTGCAGACCAGCATGAAATTCCACCCCAGTACCTGCTTCAGTGATATTCTACAAACCCACAATCTGCCCACCTCACTTCCTACAACCCTTGAAAATCCTCAGCGTCATCTAGGCTAGATCCACACTGGACATTTTCACATGTCTAAATGTCCCTACTCTAGAGTCAGCAAGTCATTTAAAAAGGCAACTCCACTCAATTCAAAATAAGTTAAGTGAAAGTAGAAACTGAGGAAGTGTGCAACCCAAGAACACAAAAAAAAAAAAAAAAAAAAAAGACTAGAAGAATATGTAGCAAATACTGAAAGTAATTTTCTTCCTAGCACTTTTCTACATTTTCTAAACTTTCGACAGTATACTTATTCTGTGTTTATAATCTGAAGTCTTTCTCCCTACCTCCATTCCTTAATGGCAACTCAAACTCTTTTGTTTATCCCACATCTGTTCCCAAGCCACACTGAAATAACACATAATCCACAGCAACAATAGAAAACAGGAAAGAGCCCAGTGAGGAAACCAGAGATTTGTAGGAATTTCTGTAATAGAAAAAGCAGACAGGACTAGATAGACAAAGGTCAGAAGACAGTATTTCAGCCTACACAAGACAGAGAAGGAAGTACACAAACTTTTCCAACAAAATCCTAGAACTTAAGCCCCAAGTTCTCCATCAGCAGGGGCTGAAACTGGAGCTGCTTCGGAGAAATCAGCAGAGTGTCTGGAGGTCGCTGGGAACTCAGCCAGTGGCCTGCCCTACTCCAGGAGGAAGCAGAGCAGCTGGTTCTGACATTTGTGCCAAGGCCGCAGCTAATTCGAGGACTCCACCCCGTATCAGGCGCCTAACATGGGCATGAAAACCAGAACAGCAAAGGGCACTGTCCCCAGCAGTCTTCAAAGTTTCCGCAGTAAAAAGGTAAAGAAAAAAAGGGTCAGCATAGCTCTGAGGCCCTCTAAATGCCCTCCACTTCCTGGGCAATGCCTTTCCCAACTTCTCACTACAGACAGAGATCAAAATATCAGAAATTGTTAATACAAGCACCTACTTAGAAAACCAGAGATTAAAGTGAAAAACTGGGAACAAAATATACAAAAATGCAACAGCCTTCTTATATGTCAACAAGAACCTCTTAAAACGTAATTTAAAAGACAAAGATCCTATTCAAAATATCAAGAAAATCTTGAAAATGCCTAGAAATAAGTTTTTTTTTTAAGTGAAAACAAGTTTATTAGGAAAGTAAAGGAATAAAAGAATGGCTACTCCATAGGCAGAGCAGCCTAGAAATGAGTCTTTTGAAGCAACACTACCAAACATTGCCAAAGAACACAGAGGAAGGCCTCAATACAGCCTAGAAATAAGTCCTAGATGAAGATGGCAAAATCCAATGTTGGAAAGATTCAATTCTACCCAAATAAATCTAGAAAGTTAAAACAGTCCTAGTTAGCCAGGCGCGGTGGTGCATGCCCATAGTCCCAGCCACTTGGGAGGCTGAGACTGGAGGATCACTTGAGTCCAGGAGTTCTGGGCTGTAGTGTGCTATGCCAATCGGGTGTCCACACTAAGTTCGGTATCAATATGGTGACCTCTCGGGAGCGGAGGACCACCAGATTGCCTAAGGAGGGGTGAACTGGCTCAGCTCAGAAACAGAGCAGGTCAAAACTCCCGTGCTGATCAGTAGTGGGATCAGGCCTGTGAATAGCCACTGCATTCCAGCCTAGTCAACATAGTGAGACCCCACCTCTTAAAAAAATTAAAAAATTAAAATAAAATAAAATAAACCAATCCCAGTTAAAATCAAAATTCTGGGATTTCTTTTTAAATTTAAATGATCTGCCACTGTGCCCAGCCAACCTAAGTGATTTTCAACATAGTATTTTGACTATGTACTCCTAGCCAAAGATTAAAAAAAAATAAGTACAAATATTGAACTCTAGCTTGCTTTTCACAATAGTATGGTTAGCAATTCTGAAACTGCTTATTGTGGATAATGGGAGGCAGTTTTCTCATAGAAAAAGGAACAGTGGCATGCTAGAGCTGGCTTACTTAGTGAGAACCAATTATTACACATCTCTTTCTAATTCTCCATTCATTAATATCAGCTTGAAACTGACCATGGAAGGGAGCTTTTATACAATGAATGCTGGCAAACATTGCCTATCAGGCTTTTTATCCACTGGACAGCCGGTGTTAAACATCTGCCAGCACACCATGAGAAGGGAATGAAAACTACAAGTGAAGGAAGTCTAGAATAAACCCTATGGCGCTGAAATGGAATTGGAGGTATCATTACGCATAAATGTATTTCCTACCTCTGTCTGTTGGGAAATCCTGGAAACATACAAATGGCAGCAAGCTTACCTAGAGCACAAATCTTAGTTTCTAAATATTTCACTGCTTAATGGAACCAGGACTTTTTGGAGAAATGGCAGTTTCCAGAACTGGGGCAGGAAAATTACCTACTAAGTCTGTAACATCTTGTGCCAGTTAGCAAGGAAGTGCTCAAAGAATGATGAGTATATATCAAAAGGAAATAGGATCCAGTTTAAAGGAGCTCCCCACTGTCCAAATCTAGGACAATTTGGACATCAAGATTAATAATGATGGTAATGGTCGGGCATGGTGGCTCATGCCTATAATCCCAGCACTTTGAGGCAGAGGTGGGCAGATCACTTGAGGTCAGGAGTTTGAGACCAGCCTAACCAACATGGTAAAACCTATTCTATACTAAAAATACAAAAATTAGCTGGGCATGGTGGCATACACCTGCAATCCCAGTTACTTGGGAGGCTGAGGCAGGAGAATAGCTTGATTCACCAGGAGGCAGAGGTTGCAGTGAGCTGAGATCGTGCCATTGTACTCTAGCCTGGGTAACAGAGTGAGACTACACCTCAAAAAAAAAAAAATGGTAACATATTATAATGCATTAAATAAAATAAGAATCCATGAACCCAGGCTAACATGGTGGGAAGCGGAGAGTTCCTTACAGCAGAATGCCAGTTTTATTACACAGATAGAATTAGAAAACCACCATACAAAGATTTATACACGAACGTTCATAGCAGCTCAATTTGTAATAGCCAAATACTTGAAACAACCCAAATGTCCATTAATAAGCCCAGGCTGACCACGATGGATCACATCTGTAATCCCAGCACTCTAGGAGGCCGAGGCAGGCAGATCGCTTGAGTCTAGGCATTCAAGACGAGCCTGGGCAATGTGGCTAAACCCTATCTCTACAAAAAATACAAAAATTAGCCAGGCGTGATGGCACAGGCTTATAGTCCCAGCTACTCAGGAGGCTGAGGTAGGAGGATGGCTTGAGTCAGAAGGTGGAAGTTGCGATGAGCTGTGATTGTGCCACTGCACTCCAGCCTGGGTGACAGAGTGAGACCCTGTCTCAATACAAAACAAAACAAAACAACAAGTCTATGGATAAACAGTGATATGTCCATAAAATAGAATACTATTCACTAATAGAAAGGAATAAGCTATTAATACATACATCAACATGCATAAATCTCAAAATAAGTATAAGTGAAAGAAGCCAAGCAAACAAAAGTACCTACTGTGTTCCAATTATACAAATTCTAGAAAATGCAACTAATCTATAGTGACAGAAAGCAGATCAGTGGCTACCTGGGAAGGGTGTAATGCAGTGGGAGAGATGTCAAAGGGACATGAGGAACACTGCCATGTTCCTGCCAAAACACATGGCCTGAACCTAATCATCAGGAAACAGGCAAACTCAGATCCGGGCACATCCTACAAAGTAACTCTCCTGTACTCTTCAAAAATGCTAAAGTCGTAAAGACACAGAGACTGAGGAACTACTCCAGGTTAAAACAGATGGGGGGACCTGGCAGCTAAATGCCATGTGGAATCCTGAATGGAAAATGTTTTCTTCTTTGGTTGGAAAGGAAATTACTGGAACAACTGGGGAAATTTAAGTAGGGTCTACATATTAGCTAATAGAATTATACTGATATCATTTCCTGATTTGTCAATGGATTGTGATTGTGTAATAAGAAAATATCCTTATATTGGCCAGGCATGGTGGCTCACGCCTGTAATCCCAACACTTTGGGAGGCTGAGGCGGGCAGATCATGAGGTCAGGAGTTTGAGAGCAGTCTTGCCAACATGGTGAAACCTCATCTCTATTAAAAATACAAAAATTAGCCAGGCGTGGTGGTGCACGCTTGTAACCCCAGCTACTCAGGAGGATGAGGCAGGAGAACTGCTTGAACCAGGGAGGTGGGGGTTGCAGTGAGTCCAGATCATGCCACTGCACTCCAGCCTAAGCAACAAAGTGAGACTCCAACCCCAAAAAAAAAAAAAAAAATTCTTATATTTAGAAAATACACGTTGAAATATTTGTGGATAAAGGGAAATAATGCTTACTTCTTTACTTCCAAATGGTTCCAAAAAATGTGTGTGTGTGTGTGTGTGTGTGTGTGTGTGTGTGTGTGTGAAGAGAGAGAGAGGGAGAGAATTAAAAATAATTGTTAACTTTTGAGGATTCCAAGTGAAGACCATATAGGAATTCTTTCTAATATATTTACAAGAGTAAATCTAAATTTCTTTAATGAAAAACATTGAAATTCAAC